TCAGCGACCTTTACACCCGGCCACCCACCGTTTCACACCCACAGTTTCTTTAAGCCAGGCCGGCCTTCTTCCTCCCGGCTGGAGTTGGTTGCAGTCGGCTTGCTCCCTCTCAAAGACAGACGAGCGCGCAAACGCAGCGGACAGCGCAGCGTTGGCTTCGGTGTCGCTGCACAGAGTGTAACATCTGACATGTCCTGCAGTTTTGTTTTGTTTTTGCATCAATAGAGCTCTGACGGCCCGTCCTGGAGCTGGATGCATATCATCCGATCTGCCCTTGTGATTCTTTCTTTACTGTTTGTGACTCAGCCAAACATCTGGCTGTGAGTTAATGTCTTATTTTTGTTACTATTTTCAGAGGTGAGGAAATAAATGAATGATAACGATTCTCTTATAAATGAAACTGTGTCTCATTGTGTTAATTTTTTTCCCCTCAGCCCACTCGGTGATATTTTCATATAACTTGCAGCACCTTCAAATTACGAGCAGCATTTGTGTTGTGCAAGTAACTGTGACCGTGTGTGGCTGGGCAGCGGCGTTGGTGTGGGACTGGGGGGCCGTAGAGCATCAGCAGTAATAATGGCAGCGTACAGCAATGTTGCCTTGAATACCGGCAGTGATAAAGGTACTCAAGACAGTTTCTGCAAAGCCAGTCTAGACAGTGTCTCTGAATATGAATGCCACTTAAAGCTGCCAGAGAGACCCGGCCGTGTTTTCACCATGGAGATGTCAGGATTGCTTACAGTTTGCTGACATTTTGCTGCTGAGACCCAGAAAAGGCAGAAAGCCCGTTTGACTGGCACTCACCAAGGGGACAGTCGGCACCAAAAACAAAACAAATATTTTGAATGAAAAGTAGTCTCCCTCCTCTCGTTTTTATTTTTTTATTCCCACCCACACACACTTATCTCTAGTCTCTTTCAAGCTGTTTCTACCCCCGTTTAACAGCTTTCACCTCACTTGGAAGTGAATGACCTGCATGGGAGTTTTGCACGTAACAGAGTTCAGTTCATTATGTTAAAAAAATAAAATAAAAAAATAACAGAGGAACTTTTTTTTTTCTTTTCCCCCAGCACAGTTGAGGCCAGGCGTACAAACATTTGGAAAGCTAATTTAGGAACGCGCTGCAAGAGTCAAAATAGAAAAGCATGACTGTGCATCAGTGTTGTGTGACATCACTGCTGTTTTATAGTAATTACTATCACTTCACCTTAAGGAGCTCACTTAAGTTCACCGGGTTTGTTTTACATTGTGATTCAAATGATAACTGCGAGCAGAAACCAAATTCAGCTCCTTGTGGTTTTAATTATGGTTGCTTCAGACGCTGCATAGGAGGCAAATTATCAGGGTGAGACAGTGGAAAAAAAAAAGAATAAAAAGCAAAAATGAAACTCCCATCAGAAAACACCTAAATGTCAATAAATGAAAACATCACAACACCCACCATTGAAAATGTCAGCCACACAAATACCTACAAACAGCGTTACACACTGGCCAGAAAGGGACACGGCTTCCTCCGGACAGAGGAAAAATGAGAACGAGGCGGAGGGATGTTTTTTTGCTTCTGCTGACTGGGTGACCTGCATGTAATTAGTCGAGTCATATTTTTAACTGATATTGCGTAAAAGCCAGCTTAAGGAGTCGTAGCTGCCCTATTTATACTCCAGGGGCTAATGGCCTGCACCACTACGCGGGGGGATTTCCTCTCAGAACTGTACTCAGCCTGCTTTAGGCCGTACCAGTTAGGATTCACAGGGATTAGTCCAGCAATACGTTACAGGCCTCAGCGCCGAGTCTGATTCACGTCACGCTGCTGGAGAGTTTCCTGTTTCTTCTGCATTTTGCAAAGTTCTGCACTCTCTGTGTTTTTGTTCTTTTTTTTTTTTTTGGTAGAAATTATGTTTATTTGTTTTAACTGAGCACCTTTAAATCTACAAGTGATCAGATTTTCAGAACTTTTTTTCCCACAATAACTATTTATTTCTTCAGTCGTGAACATGCTGCACACAGACTGTTTGATTTTATTACTTTATGGGGGGAGGAGCTGGATGTTAATAGTAAGTCCTGAACCGACCGTAAGGCCGTCTTGATTGTGACTGAGCCTGTTGCTGCTGGCTCATCCTGCTGAAGAATGGGTCAGGGCTCTGAAGGCTGACCTGGCCTTTTGCCCAATCAGCTATTGCCTGTATCACTCTGTCCTTTTATCAGCTTAGCCTGGCTTCTTGAGGCTTAAGCCACCACAGTAGTACTCCCTCCCACCACCAGCCGCTCCCCTCCCCTCCCCTGCGGCTCTTCATCGCTCCAGCTCTGGGCGACGAACTCTAAATGTGTTATCTTTCCATCGACAGTATCTGTCCGTCTGCTTTGTCCTCATCCAACCATCCTCTCGTCTACTCTTCCCTCTGTTCAGATCTGTTACATTCAGCAACAAATTTTTGCTGCATCAGACATCTATCATAGATCCCCCCCTCTCCCACACACACACACACACACACAGCCTGAAACGTGATCAGACATCCAATACAAGGCTTAATATGAGAAAGGGTAAAGATAAAAAAAAGAAAGAAAAACAAAAAGCAAATGAACATTTTCTTTCACATGAAAGACACGTTTTAGTCAAATTTAAGCTCAATCCTCACCTGCGTAGGCCTTTTGCTTTTTTTTGTCACTTCCTGCCCTACGATTCGTTGAATGCCGTCTGACTCATGTGACCTTTCTCGTGGAGGTCTGACCCTGTTTGTGTACCTCTGTGTGCGCTTGTGTGTGTGTAATAAGATGGACAGATTACAAACACTTAAAGAGCAAGGCAGACAGAAACGAAAGGAACGGAAGAAGAGTAAAAAAACGCCGCCACATGACTCAGGCCAGCCATAACTGAGTGTGAGTCTTGTGTGTTTTGCTGATGTTCGTTGTTATTTGTGCGTTTATATTAAGTAACCGAGTGTGCCTGTGCGAGTAAAGCCAGTCATTTCTATAGCTCTATATTGTAGCACATGCTTTGTGATTAACCAGGCTTTATTCCTTTCTCTTTCATAATGACTCCACTGTCAGGTGCAAATTCGAGTCAAATACTAACATATAATATTTGTCGAATCGTAATAAAGACCCAGTTCAAACAATATGACCGCAAATCAATTTCAGGGCAGAAGAAAATGTCAACTTTACAGTAAAATATTTATTTAATCTATAACTTTAATATTATTGGCTAAATTGATGGCAACTATTTCTTAAAAATTTGCAAATTTGTCTAAAAGGTCCTAAAATAATATATGTGTAATTCAAAAGGCAGCTGTTCCTGATTAATTATGTGTTAAATTATTTAAATTAAATAGCCATGATAACAGATTTTTGGTAATCTTCCAGTTAATATTTTTAGAGAAATATTTTTGCAGAAGAAACTTTTCCACAGACCATTATAGTGACGTTAATGATTAGCTATTTTTTAACAAATATTTTCATTTTTATTTATTTTATTTCTCTTTGTTTCAGTTGCTCCTGAGCAGAACTCCCAGTCTTTTGTCCAAAATTTATTATTTTTCTTAGATTTTTAGGTATAAGATTTTTATATTGTATCAATAAACACGCGCACACACACACACACACACACACACACACACACACACACACACACACGCATTTCCATCTCATAGTGTTGATATTTATCTCTTTATGGTCTTTCAGTTTTTATGTTTAAACCAAAGTGTTTCAGAAGTGTTGATTTAGGCACCTTTGTGTAACGTGGCCACAGAAAGCACTTTGCTGGAGCAGACAGCGCCTGTGCCCACACAGCCTCGGTGTCTGACATCTATATAATCAGTACTCATTCGAAAAATAAAAGTAGCGTTCACCAAAATGTCAGGGGTCATGTTGGTTTCCTTGTAGTGAGGATGTTTCAGTGTCGGCCTTTCAAACCTCTGCTGCACTGAGGGTGAAAAGAGGTTCGGTTCAAATCCTCTGTTTTGCTCTGATTTTTTGAACTAAAATCACCTTTAAAGTTGCAACAGAACACCGCTTCCAACCCGTCCAAACTCCCGAGTTCGCTTCTGCTCTGACACGTCTCTCGGTTTCTTGCCGTGAATGAGCACTCCACGACTCTCAACAGCAACCGGTCCCGACTGAATCACTGAAGCAAATCATTCAGCACTCCCCTGCTGTGCTCCTGTTTGCGTATAAACTCACACGAGTGTGCGGGTCGGCGTGTTTGTGCATGCATATAAAATCAAATCAAATGTATTCACGAAGGCTCTTTTAACAAGCAGGTTCGTCACAAAGTGTTTTGATGAGAACAAAGGACACAAATTCAGATGAAACTACAGATAAACAACACACACACACACGCAAAAAAAAAAAAGAACAAGAGCAGCGTGCGTGCCTTTGTGTGTTTGTGTGTGTTCTGGATGGATGTGAGGTTTAGGTTTGAGTCAGAGGTAGCAGCAGAAGCCTTAAGTGTGTGTAGGATGAGCCTCCTACCACGTTCCTCCTTGTCTCTCATCAACTGTCTTTCTGCCTCCCCTCTGTCCCCCTGTTTCTTTTGTGTGTCAGTGTGTCCTGTGTAAAATGTCACTGCACACTTATATTAATGATTTGATCGCTCACTCGTTGATTGATAAACGATAGTTCACAGCAAAAAGAAAACTTTAGGAGTAAAGTAAGCAAATGGCAAGAACAGATGATGAGTACAGTCTGCATCCTGGATGGTACATATATTTCAGGGCTTACGTATATATGCCTCTGTGTGTGTGTGTATGTGTGTGTGCGTGTGTGTGTGTGTGTGTGTGTGTGTGTGTGTGTGTGTGTGTGTGCAGGTTTGTATCCCTCACAGTGATTAAAGCAGGTGGGCGGCAGCAGCAACTGGTCTGCCTGTGTGGCTCTGCATAGCAGACATGTTTCTCACTGCTAGATATTACTCATTTCCTCAGCCCTTTGCACACACAAGCATGCACACACACTCACTCACTTGACACACACATGCTCACAAGCACAACAGACACAGAGACGGATAGCAGACTCTCAGTTTTTCCCTTCAGTTTGGTGGGCTCGCTGCTGTTATTTCATGCGTTCAGAGATCAGAGGCAGGGCGTAGCTGGAGGCTGCGGGTCTCTGCAGGTGCCGGAGCTTGTTCTGGTGCCGTGGAGGAGCACGGCAAAGCGCTGAAGGGTGGGTTGACCCTCTGGGGCACGGGGTGGGGTGACTAGAATATGAATGGCTGCCAACTCTGGGACATCTCCTCAGCCCACACTAAGGTCAGTCTTGCATCTCATCACACCAGCTGCCAACTTCATCTACTTAATTGTTACAGCACTCTCTCTCTCTCTCTTTTTTTCGTCTGTCGGTCTCTGTTTGCTTTTCTGTTGCTAAATCTTTGAATCCAAGTTTCATTGATGGGCAAACTTCAACTAGTTTGTCACAGATATTCTGCTGATGTGTGTTCTGAGGTTTGCGGTCATGCGTATGGATGCATGTTTGACACTTTTACAGATAGATGCACGAAGAGAAAAGGCGGGATAATGTCAAAAAGTGCAAACACAAGTTTTCATTTGTTTGCATTTGGACTGAAAGGACATTTAAAATATAACTGCTTTTCTGGAGAAAACTCTATATAGTTTTGGGACTCTGAGAAACTTTTTACAGACTAAACAAAGAGCCTTTAGGAGTGTTGAATTGGAGGGAAAGTTGATCATTATAACGGCAGGGATCTGTCCCTTTTTAAATGTATTGAAATATTGCATTAAAGCACCAGCAGCTCCAGCTTCTTGTGCATGTCTGCACAGTGTGGGAGTGTTCTGCTAGGAGACATTTCTTTTCAAACTCCTCCACATGCACAATCACATTCTTTGTTTTTGTTGTACTCGCTACAAGTTTATATCAGGTCTAAGTAGTTGATGCTGGTGTAAAAGTAATGTGAGGTTAACCAGAACTGTTTTTGTTGTTGTTATGTTTTTCTTTTAGAAAATCAGGGTTTTCTACAGAGAATAGATTGTAGGACCAAATCCAACTGACCTACAGTAAATTATACTGCAAACTACTTTTCTTGGCTTTCAAACATAAACGTCCTGGTTTTTATCACATTTCAGGAATTGAATTTTTTGTTGTATTTATTAAATAAGTTTAAAAGAAGTTAAATTAATGCCATCTTATGTATATAAATTTCCATTTGAAGAACATGAATAAATTTTTGTTTGCGAATTTTGTTTTTTTTCCCCTTCTTTAACACCTTCAAACATATAACATGAATAATTTAAAAAGTGTCCAGGTGAGCTACTTGAGCTTTACATTTATCAAAATATTTCTACATATTTAGTTAGACTCTTGTCGTGACTCAGCATTCCCTCTGACTGAAACAGTTGAGATTTAAATAGATAGGTGTGCAGTTTACCAAATTATTTCTAAAAAAATATTTAATGTGGGGAAAACAGACAGCAGTCAAGTTTTAACAGCACTTCATAAACGACTAAAATACAAAGAGCCGGAGCTCAAGTGCCATAGCAAAGCAATCTAAGTTGATATTTTTTAATTAGATTATTGAAAAATTATAAACTTTGTATTAAAAAAACACACAATTGAATCCGTTTGAAGTTGAGTCTTAAATACAGCAAAGTCTGCAAAAGAAGAGATAAGTTGCAGGATGTATCGTACGCTGGACCTGCAGTGAAATCAGAACAGCAGCGTTTTCATTGACCTAATAGTCGTACATCATATCATTTTCACTGTTCTGCCTTATTGCATCCATCCTGCCAACGTCTGGGACAATGAATCCTCCTCCTCCCATCGCTGTTTTCAGTTTTCCACTCAGATGCACAAACAGCTTGCTCCGCTCTAACACTTCTTCTGTTTTTGGACCAAGTCACTTGATGAGCAACTGCGTGCCCGCCTCTTCTTAAAGTATCCCCATCTAACCTCTCTAATCATCTGATTGCTTATGTGCTTCTGTATGTGATTGTGGTGGGGGGACATATATAT